TCATACTCAGAGACTGCAAAACTGTAGTACTACATGTACGTACAGAAAGATCTATCGTCCATCATTCTATCCCGAAATGGAACATTCTGTATGCAAATAGAACGAGTTTAAGCAAATTGATAAAAATCAGCATGCTTGTTATTTTTTTTTGTGCGATCCACGCCTATAATGTATCGGTGTTCACTGAAAAGTTCGTTAATTTAATGACGTGGGGGGCGGGCTATTTCTGGACTTTCGATGTATTATCACGTCACTTGATTGAGGCACTCGGTGACTCTGTAATGCAGCCGATGTTTGTTCAGACACAGAGATTTTTCCAGATAACGACTGTACTAAAACAGAGACGCTGATCGGGAGAACTATTGACAGCAGAGAAATCTATCCCGGACACCTGAAAGTTTCAATCCTGACACACCGTGTTAACCTGAAAAAAGTGGATTTTCAATTTCCTGTGTTCAGTGACGCTTTCTCGTCCATTTCCTAGCTCCAAGGAACTATGCCCTAAAACAAAGTGGATTTCTGTCGATTTTAGAAAGACTAACCGCAAATGAACTAGATTTTATCTTGAGTAGTAGAAAGATAAAAAAAACTTTTTATCGAAGTGCTGATGAATCTCAAATCTATTTATATTCATGGACCCTAGAAAAACTTTTGTTTCGAATTATGATACATGAAGCCTGGTCGATGGTTTCCCCCGATTGTAATTGGTTATCGATATACAGCGGTTGGCGATTTGTTTACCCGCCAGTCTCTTGTAAAATTCCTATAGGATCTGCGCAATGTAATCTTGCTACGTGTTTATAAACTTCTTGTAGTATCTTTGAAGGAGTTTGAACTTCTCCGATATAAATCACCTTTCGGTCATAAATCGCGCGAACAATTGGGTGCTGTTAAAATTAAGGCCTAATCTATATTTATTTTGTTCCATTTTTCATACCCTCAGAGGGATATAAATGGCCCTTACACGCCGGTTTTCTTGATCGATATATTTAGTTTCTTTTTCGCCAACACTTCTACCTCATAAAACTGATATACTTTTCATAAGTCGTGTTTTCATTCTTACCTAGCTATTGCTAATAGATATGTTTTGATATATTTTTCATAAGTCGTGTTTTCATTCTTACATAGATTGGTAATGGATGTATTTTGGTTTTGTAGAAATTTTATCTGGCAGTGATATTACGTGATTTTTTGATTGTATTCACACAATCTGATACTTTGATGGAAACGGGTATCAGATGCAAATGAAGATGGCGGTTCTACTAAGTCACTGAATTGTCTACATCACTCATTTAAAACTCCTTAATTACTGAAGAGAGAGATAATTTCGCAGAAATGTATCTAAATTATTGATAAAAAATGAAGATAATGGCTTGTTAAACGAGTTTGTGCTTTCATCGTTTTTCGCTTAATTGTTGACCGATCAATCTATGAATTGAAATTATAAAATTACGAAGTTTTTTTTTCCAAATGAGAATTGGGAAAACAAAATATGCGACTTTAAATTATATCAGTGTGTATTTGAAATCTATTCCATGGGACCTTATTGCCAGTCTGTAAGCAAGCTATCCCTTGTGTTGCATTTACTTGACAACTGAACAGATGAATACCATTTGTATGCTATTTTTGAGAAAAGAAGTATATTTTATCCGAACAAATAACAAAGAGAAACAACATCACCCATCACCAACCCATACCCTCAACCCCCCTAATGTAGGAACAATTAACAATAAGAGAAAACGGAAGAAATGCAAACAAACAAAAAGAAAAACCAAAAAAGCAAGAAAAACAAAAGGAAAAAAAGCAAGCAAAATACAAAAGCATTTTTTTTAACAATTGCTGACTGTGTTATTATTCTCTGAATATTGTTTTCTTGAAGCAGACAATTAATACAGAAACGCGAGAACGGATCCTTCTGGAATCTGTTTCATGTGTCCATTAAATTGTAATCCTGTGAATGCCTGACTTTGATAAATGTTTTCTTAAACGTTTCCTAGATATAATCTCCGCTTTAACATGTGTTTTTAGATTTTATGAGTACATTTACAAGATTCTTGAGTAAAACAATCGACATAATTATTCTGGATAAAATGCTTTGATGAAATCAATTACAACATTCTCTCTCCCTCTCTTTCTCTCTCATGTATGTGTACCGTTTTATAACACTTGTCTGATATTAAAAAGAATTCAAATAATCAAATAAGAAGAAAACTGCTGGTCCAACACTTAATCATGAATATGGATTTTAAAAAGAGGACTTCTGTTTCGGAATGAAATGCCCGAATATTTTTTTTTGACCCTGTGACCTTGATCTACTTTTCAAAAAATTAAACATGACTTTAAACTGGCCATATTTTTTGGAATGAGAAGAGAAAATGATTGTGGCAAGACCTTTTTTTTCCTCGTGACCTTGAAGTTTGACCTACTTACCAAAAACTTAAATCTTGTTCATAACTTTTGAATAAGGAAAAATATGGCTTTCACATTTCACATGTATAATACCTGTGACAAGACCTTCAAAATACACTATGATTTTTTACCCCTATAGCTACGACCTTGAATCTTGACATTTGATCTTTTCAAAAATGTTATTTTTTCCTTTTAACTTTTGATTGCGAAGAGATAGGGCTTTCACATTTTACATGTGTATGACCCGTGACAAGATATTTCCAAGCATGTTATGATTTCTGACCCCTTGACCTTCTTGTTTGACCTAATTTTCCCCCAAAAAAACCTTCGTTGGTGAAAACCAACGAATTACATATGATAGGGCTCATATTTGACAAAATATGTCATAAATAATGACAAATCACCCACAAAGACACTGAAGAGGGAACACCATTATTTGAATTTGCTTGTTCAAATTATAATTTTTTTATTTACATCATTGCATTTTATATTTTCTTTCGTTTTTTATAATTATATTATTATATATTATTATTTATAATTATATTTTTTAGAGAACATTGTATAATGTTGTAACTTTTAGGGTTTTAAAGAAATTTTTCGCTGAACCAACACGTCGCGGAAACGCGATTTCAGAAAATTGATAACATCCTGTCATCTACAAACCGACATATCACCGCCATTTTTTTTTTCATTTGAAATTGATCTTTGGGTTTTTATCGTTGTCTTTTGTTTGATATGGAGAGTGAAGTTCCTTCTTTCTTTTTTTTTTTCTTCGTTACCATGATTTAGGAGTCCTTAAGAGTTTTAGCGAGCCAGCTCATTATCTGAGAAAACGTGCCCAGAAAACAAACACGCTGGTGACAATTTACTTCTTTCGAGCTGGGTTTTTTCCCTCAAAAATGATTGATAATACAAAAGTCTCTATTAACAATCAAACGCATAAATGCCATGTTTAAATTCCAGATAAAATGTTGGATGAAAATTCATTGTTATTCTCGTCACATTCCTGCTATCGATTTAGAACTTAAATCTACTCACATTTGCATTTAAGTGATTTCGCGTTCCAGTGTTGGCTAACGATGATCATCAGGATCCCAGGCGTGTGTGTTTAGTGAACGGTCCAAATTACATCTGTCATCTAGTCTACTTTTATTTTTTAAACAGTATTAAGATAAATGAGACAAAGATATCTGGCGATTTGAATGGTAGATTTTTGTCCTGATTAGTTTAATGAATCAGTGTTTGGACGTACCTGAATTTTCTATTGAAACTATAGAAAAATTAATATCTTAACGAGACCTATCGTGTGAGATTACTATTGTGCAGATACTAGAATGGATATGGATGTAGGCTAATATTAATAAAAAATAGATGTAAAAAATCCTTATTTAATTAGAAGAAATAGCAGTTGGAGAGAAAAATCAAATCAGGCGGGGTGTATAGAATATTTTCTTTCACACGAAACAAAGTCGAACACACTCTGCTATTAGTCTGTTATATATTTTATGACCCCGATATTTCAACCATCATCTATAAATCAATTTGATATAATTACAAAAAAAACTCTGTGTAAAATATATTTTTTAGATTTTATAAATGACTTTCATTTTCGCACATTCATTTTGCGGTTCGTCTTTCAATTCATGAACACCTTTATATTTTATAATGATACTTGCAATCAGTGGCATTAACTAGTTACATTAACAAGTATTTCTCTACAAGATATGAAAACTTTCTGGACCGCCTGTCTTTGAGTCCCTTTCTGGCGTTGAATCCTTTGAATTATGTCGCAATTTGAAGCATTTTATGTTCCTCTGAGGATGCTTATTTAGTAATAAGGTGAAGGAACAACCTTATTCTAATGTCTTCCATTAAAAGAACATTACAGAGAGCATGTTACTGCCACTCCCTCACAAAGAAATATTTTCTTATGATATCCATGGTCACTGAAAAAATTTATCGTCGTACTATTTCAAAATAATAGATATACAAACATTTCAGTAAAGCTTGTTTTTAATTCTCACAGGTTTTAATGCTGGAATTTGAACAATGCTTTACCCTTTTTGATAAAAAAAAAAAAGAAAGAATTGGTAGCATAAGTTCAATTTCAATTTATTCACTCAACCAATTAATGGTACATGAAGTTTTATGTACAATATATACAAAAACAATATACAAGATACACTTGAAATGGCGGAAATACATTCAAAATTTACAGTTATAACCAACAAAAATAATTATGGAGGACAGAGTTGCAAGTTCATATACTTATTTATGTAGCTGCATAGTTTTATTAAAACCTTGGAGTCAGCAGTTGATAGCAATTCTGAGAATTTGTAAAAATTTGCCCTATTACAATATTTACTAGCTTTCTTCTACATCTATAAAAGCGTAATATCAACTTTTAAAATGTCACTGTAATTATCAAAATCGCAATTTTCAGGTTTTTTTAATTTTTGCAGGGCACAATTCGTTCAATTGGAAAAAGCGCCAGTGAGTGCTTAAAGCTATAATATCGTGCAATATCGAGCCGGAGCTAGAAGTCAGCTGTGATTCGTTCTGATTCCATACATTGGTCACACCAGACTACTCAGCCAGGGGAGATTCGCGGCGGCGGTGCAGTACTGTGATCATCAGTAGATATACTGTTGTACAACCTGAATATTCCCTTCCGACATGGAACTGCACATGTTGACAAGACGTACTGATGTAGAACACTAGTATTTGCTTGTTTACTGATGCTAGAGATTTGGAGAAATAAGTCTCTGTTAGTACTCACGCGAATAGAATTTGAAATCAATAGCGATTTTTGCCGTGATATGCCTATAATGACAAGCAGGCAGATGATTCCGCACTCTCGTCCCCGCATTATGAAAGGTTCAATACAAATTTAACTATTGGATGGTGATCGCAGACTTCAGTCGTGTAGTTTCCCTTTAGAGTGTATGGACCCTCCCTTGGTGTCGGACTAAGTGGTCTTATTGTTTCCAAACCTCGTCCTTGGACTGTCAGTGATTGGAAAAACATGTCTGTAATCCTCTCTTACACCACTAACCGACCACAAATCTCATTTACCATTCTTGGAAAATTTTAATTATCCTCCTTTTTTCTAATGTTTGTTGATGTTCTTTGACGGCCTGCAAAACTGCCTTCTCTGGGGATTTATTTCAACAGACAGTCACATAGTGCCATGTGAGAGGATTACGTCTGAAGTACCCTTCTCTGGGACAGTGACCCAGCGCTATGGAAATGTTTTCTCTCATTAAAAACACCCTCGCGTCCGAGGACGCCAATCCGATCCACCGACTCTACAGGGTGGGACAACAGGTGGGGACAGGTGGACAGGAAATGTTGTGGCGGATCCATGAAGCAGAAAGCATCGAGGAAGAAAAGGTAAGTGTTGTCATCTTTTTTTCTTAATTGTCTGGAGTTTTGCACGGAAAACACCAACAAAGACTATTTTGTTCTCTCATTCGTTTGAACTTTATGGAGTTTTTTTTAAAAACTAAATACATGATTTTTTTTTCTGTATATTTTTATCTTTGACAATATAATGTAAAAATTAAAAAAAAATAATACGTTTATGATTCAAGGTATGATGAAAAAATCATGTGGGTAGTAACTTTATATATATATTTTACTACATAGCATTGTTCTAAAAAGAATTACACACAAGGATTTTACGATAGTTTCATCTGAGTATTGCATTGCGTTACTGAGATCAAAATCTATGGGATGAAGCTCACAATATACAGACTCAATTTGAAATCAAAATTAAGCCATCATTAGCAAACAGCCTGTGTTGGTTTTTCATGCTACTGCATTTTATTGCATGTTTTGTTGTATTTTACTCAGAGGATTGGTCTTCAGAGACAACAATTAACAAATGATTGAAGGTAAGTGTGGGGCAATACCAGAGCGAAGGATGAAGCATCCGCTGTGACATAAACTACATAGTGTCTAGATTAAACAAATACATTACTCATCTCCAAATAATAAAACAAATGTTAAAATTAATTTAAGACAATAAGCAATAGCTAAGGTGAAGTTCTTGACTTATCTTTAATGTATTTTCGTTAGTTCTATATGTTTATCTCTAAGCGTGCTCTCGTATTCTCATCAATAAAAACGGTGCTGAAATCGTTTTTGATACTGTGAACCTAGGCGTTGACCACAAAACAAGGAAAACAATATTTTTGTAGAATGAAACAGCAATTTTTTCTCCAGAAAATTGATAATTGATAGTAGGGGACTGAACTTCTACTCATTGAAATAAAGTGGAAACTGGATGCCGTTTTAAATTTACGCGTGTTCGATTTACCGGAAGTAATGCTAGAATAACGATGTTAAACCACGTCAACTACGTGTAATTACAGAACAGTCAATAAACGAATCCCTCATAAAAAGCCCCTTAATACGCGGTCCGGGAATCTAAGATCTGCCGTATTTATTCACATCAATGAATAAAATTCAGTAAATTTAACACCACTGAATAATTGAAAGTGTTAGGCAGTGAAAAAAGATGACCATAAAATATGCTCTTCATACAATGAAGAAAAAAAGATATAACAACTGATGAACTCAAATGATAAAGGTATATTCTTTAGTGTACTTATAAGATGTATATATCTACATATGGTTTTTATGATTATATTAAACTGTTTTAATATCTAACGTTGTAAAGAGTTAACCTTTCTTACGATATGTGATAACTTTGATCTGGTTTCTCTAAACGCTATATGTGATTGTGGTAACTCTATCAATATTCTGCCCGTACTTTAAAACGTGTAATTCCTTCGTATGCTTTTTTTCTGTAAAGATATTTTCAGTGTTATATGCGGGCAGCAAATACGACCGCCGTTTTCAATTACAAAGCAACGCTGTAATTATTCTTTAAATATGGTTCATCAACTGTTGCGAATTGCAGAGAAGAATACCAAGACACGCGAATCATTTCGTTCCGTCAAAATAGTGGTCAGCGGAAGTTCATTAGCTAAGTCTCTTAGTGGACGCATGGAAACGCTGTTTTGCGATACGTACGGACGCATATCGATATGTAGAGCTTTGAAAAGTACTGGTTGGTACAATCCGGCGGCAGACATTGATACAGTTAAGCACTGTAGTCTATATAAAAATAACCTGACCTACCGATTTTATCAGACTAGGAGAAATATGACCTAAAAGGGGTAGCTTGTGCTTGATTAAATACTGCTGGCATTACATTAACTACATCGTAGAATGCTTTGCACTGATTAATTATTTGTTTTTCCATCCCTTGCAAGAATTTTTACTAATATGAGACTTCACTGGATGCCGTTGAAGGGCTTTTAATTAATTTAGACCTATATTTGGTAAAAAGGGCCTTTGAGCAATAAGAGGCCTTTAGCGTGCCGACTCCTGTCAAAAAAGGAACGAGCTTTCTATTGGTTTTCGTGAGGGTAAAAGCTTTTTATGGTACTTGGCGTCGTAAAGCGGCAAAAACTTTGTAACGCACTGGGCACATTGCGTTAAAGTTTTGTAAAACACTGGGCGCATAGCAGGAAGAAGCTTTAGAGAAATTGGGTGCTTAAGAATAAGGAGCTTTATAGAGCACTGGACGCAAAGCAGTAAGAATCTTAGGAATGGGGAACTTTGTAGAATAGAGGGTGTAAGAAGCTTTGTAGCATTGGACGCAATGCTGTATATCGTTCTTAAAGCTTGACGCTTTACGGTTAAGAGTTTTGTAAAGCATTAGACGCATAATTTTAACGAGTTTTGTACGCAGTACATGGTTGAATGCGATGAAGATTTTTGTAAGGCACTGGACGCGTAGCTTTGTAGAGCGCTGTTTAGCAATGGGTGCAAAGAGTAAAGAACTAGACGCATAGCGGTTAGCATAGAGTAAAGCACCGGACGCATAAGAGCTACAGTACAGCACCAGACACTTAGCTGTAAAGAGCTTCATTAAGCATTGAACGCATATAAGAGCCCGGTGTAGCACTAAACACTTAGTGGTAAAGATCTTTATAAAGCATTAAACGCATATAAGAGCCCGGTATAGCACTGGGCGCTTAGCGGTAAAAAGCTTTATAAAGAATTGAACGCATATCCCAGATAGCAGGATGCTGTTGGACCTTTGTTGGGCCAACAATGCTCCTTATGTTGGGCCACCGTATGCATTCAACATTGGGCCATCGGTAATTTGCTCATCGGCCCTTAATCAATCCAACTTGTGGGCTTATTGTTGGGCCAATGTAACAGTTAATATCGGGCCACTGTTGGGCCAATGTATTCTTTCAATATTGGACAAACGTCATTTTTGTACAGTTGGGCCATTGTAAGCAATTAATGTTGGGCCAACGGTAATTTGCTCATCGGCCCTTAATCAAACCAACTTGTTGGCTTATTGTTGGGCCAATGTAACAGTTTATATTGGGCCACTGTTGGACCAATGTATTCTTTCAATGTTGGGCAAATGTCATTTTTGTACAGTTGGGAGTTGGGCCATTTCAAGCAATTAATGTTGGGCCAACGTAATTTGCTCATCGGCCCTTAATCAGACCAACTTGTTGGCTTATTGTTGGACCAACGAACGGATATTATTGAGCCATTGTTGGGCCACTTATTCTTTCAATATTAGGCAAACACCATTTTTGGACCAACGTTGGTTTGTATCTTATTGGATCTCCATCAGGACAACTCATTTGCTCTTCACTGGCTGGTCAATTGTCCTCAAAATTGAATAACAAACTATATATAATAAGGTTATCGTAGCTTTGTAGTACAGTTTAATGGTAAAAGCCCTTTAATACTATATATGCTAGATTAATAGTTTTTAAAACAATATTTCATAGAATTACCATCAACAAGTATTGCATTGTAAGTAGCTCTACATTAATTAAAGAAAACTTAGGGGAAAAAATCATAATATAAAATTAAATTATAACATACTTATATTTTATTGCTCAATGCATGAAGAAAACATTAATAAAGAACACAAAGTTGATGCTCACTTGAAGCGATACATGACTGTATACTCCCTCTCTGATGTAAATTTATGCACAAGTTCAGTAAATTGCAGATTGATAGCACGTCTAAAAAATAAACAAAGCCCTCCTGTTCTTAAAATAATACTATAATGAATCCAGCAATTTTGTTTACTTACACACAAAAATGTATCTGACATCTGCATTATGTTTGTTACCGACAAATAGACACAGAAAAGGTGAGAACTACAGGTATGTCACAGTATATTACAGGAAAAGTTAGGCACTGCCACGTTCAATCTGATTCCTCTCCTAAGTCTGCTCTTCTCTCTCCAGAGTCTCCTCATTCCCCTTCTTTTCTTCTCTGTCCGTTTCTTCCTCCCCCATCCCTGTCCGTGGCATACTTTAGCTTTGATTGTGTTCTCAATGTCTTTTTAGAATCTCCAGTAGCACTAAAATTGTAGTATTTGGTACTTAATATATTTGTTACTTTTCTCAGTAAAGAGTAAACATACAATTAAATTTACAAGTATATCACTATATTTTTAAGCTGTCAATTGAGGAATAACCCTCTTTTTTGTTTCATGGTGTGATTAAGCGATTAGCTTGCGTGATGAAGGCATTTATGCATAAAATGTTTACGCTTGATCATCATCACACCGATTTTGGTTCAATGTTGCTCCATATAACTCATTACTCAAAGTAAAATATTCAATCTAATTAAGGGGCAAATTATTTATTGTTTTAACTGTATCAAAACACATTTGTTATTTTATACTTTCATATATTTTTCTTGTATAGAAACAATAAATTTAATCACTGATAATTTATTTTGTTTTGATTTATATTTTAAGAATTTTAACAAGCCTTGTAAATTTATTTTAGCTAACTTGTATTTTCAAGAAGGATTAGTGGTAGATTTATTTCTAATTTTAGAGACTATCGAATTTGTTAATATACAGATTTGTAACAATTAAATGTTTATATATACACATTGGCCCACTGTTGGTCCAATATATATCAAGTCAGAATTGGGCCAATGAGCAAAATGACACTGGGTCAACGTCATTTGCCAAAATCGGCGCAATGTTCTTGTTGACGTTTGGCCAAGATTAGCCCAGTGTCGCATTAATTTGAACAATATTGTCGCAACGTTGGGCCAATATCTGTAGAAATAACACTCTACATTGGGCAAACGTTGGAACAACATATCGGGCCAACATTGGACCGATAAGCAAACTTACACTGGGCCAATGTCATTCGCCAACATTGGCTCAATGTAACCGATAACATTGGCCCAACGTTGGCCCAATGTTAGCATGCTATCTGGGACAGCGTTGACTCAACAGCACCTGGCCTCTGCACTGATTTACACAGATTTGTACACGATATCGTTTAAACTATAGACGTTAATTAAGCTGTGTCGAA